ACTTGAGAAAAAACTCGGAGCCATTCTATGAGCCGCTATGCCGTGGCTAAAAAATATTAGGACGAGATAGAAGAAGCAACACTAAGAACCAAGTTTTAGAAATATTCACAACCTAAAAGTTTAGAAATATCAAATAAAATTTACACTACGTTTTTTAATACTGAAAGTAAACACTGTTTATGAAGTTGGTTGTAAGTTTCTTGCAGTCTGGTTAACTATTACTATTGTTCGAGAGTAAAGGTTTATTTTGTTTGGAATTTCTCGCAAAGCTACACGTACCTAATTTAGCAGTGAAGGGCCCACCGTCAACTCTTGAGCTACTCTTTTTTACCAACGAATTGACCGTTACATTATAACGCCCCCATGGCTGAAAGGGCGAGCATGTTTGGTGGGATCGGGATTCGAACCCGCGACCAAATTGGAGAATGTATGATACTGAAATGTTTTGTTGATACACATTTTAGAGAATAATAGAATACAAATCCAGTTAAGTAGTCAATAACTTTTAAACGTTTCTAATATTGTGATTACTGGGTATTTTATTTCAGGATTTATCAATGCCATCAAGCGATTGTAATTTGAGTCAATATTTACAAACCTGTCTTATTCCTGTGACATTGGGAGATCAACGTAACTCCCACTCTTTCAACTGTAATGTCTCTTGTGACATCTCTGAATAATGTTTTTTTTTTAAGTGACAATTAACTAAAACTACAGGACAACAGCTTTATGTGATTACCTCTTAAATCAGCCGAAACGTCACAAACTGAGCTGATAATATGACTTATCATTGCCCATTATAAAACGCGCCTCTACTATTACTGCTAAGAAGCAATTTCTCGTTTAATAACTCAAGCTACTTGATTACCATAATAATAAGATTATTATCTGTACTTGTCTTAGAAGTATTTGTTTTTACTTATTAAAAAATTTCGAACAAATTTAACATTTTCAGCACAGAAGTATTTTGTTTGTTTCTTTTATTTTTATCATACGAGGGGGTATTCAATATTTCACTGTAAAGATTTTTTTATATTAAAATATTTGTATTTGATATTCATGATCACAGCAGTGAACATTTACGAGACAGCTCGAACAAGATTAGTCTCGTTAATATATGAATAATACGATTGGAAAAATTAACGTGATTAAATTAATAAATGTTATTCACGAAACTTGAATTTTGAAAATAAAGATGCTTTAACAGAAAACTGACTCGGAGTTTATTTGCCTAAACATGTTAATGATATTATACAGTTAACACATTTGCTAAATTTTATTCGCACTGTTAGTTACGATATGGCACAATAATAGTTAAGCCTATTATTCTCGAATCTTGAAAAATGACACGATATGCGAAGTTATTAGGCCTAACCATCTACGTATATTAGCAGTTGGTAGTGTCGTCAGTATTTGTAAATATGTTTTTCATTCTTATTTTAACGTTTTATTGCATGTCTTTGTGTTAAAGTTCAACAACTAACGTGTTAGGACTGAATGATTAATTTTATTATTAACACAGTTTATAATGCAGTTTAATATTTTTCTATTGGTAGTACATCAGTGAATCATTAGGAACTATCGGGGAAGTGTATTATAATTTCTAAGCCTTAATAATAAAACTGTCATTCAATTTATGTTACTTTTAAACTTAATTTTTCGAAAATAATCATATTTATCAAAGTATTTACCCAAGATAAGAAAATCAGTGTTTTGAAATTGCAAATATTTCGAAATTACCACTGTATTTATTTATAAATAACCTTAACAGTGCTAACAAAATGTTTTAAAAATTTGGAAAACGTAAAATTAGTTTTTTAATACAAGTACAATTCTTGAACATTGGTCGATAAAATAAGATGGTGTCCCTGTAGTATATAAAAAAAACATAATACCGCGCGCTAAAGAAATTGAGCGTAATGTGTTTGACACGTGGTTTGGAGATGCAATTAAGTCGATATGATGGCCACTGAGTTAAGTGGTTTTTTGCCCAATTGGTGCTATGGATAATAACTTCGTATATCAGAAGACTGCTTAGTAATTTCGAAGAGCAGGCCAAGAGTCGATTACCACAGTCCTTCTCGCAATGATTACAAGCAAAATATATATTGACGTGGGATGACTCGAGTTTAGCGTTTACTAAGTGCTAACTCAAGTGTAACTTCAGGATTTCAACAAGCACCCTGTGTTGGTGTTGCCATGAAAGAGCCGTGGATATTGTTGTTTTTACGTTCGTTGTATTTGAATTAATAATAATAAATAGAATGTATAAAACAGGGTAGCTTTAGACTGCAAAGTAATTTTAGGGAATAATATGTACTACAAATGAAAGGAACTTCAACATTACTTGATGATATTATTGTAATAGTTTCTGTTGTGGGTTTTTTTTTTGTTTGGTCGTGGTGGTGTGGATTATTGGAGAAAAAGGTTGAGAAGAATGAAAGTTCAATCTAGGTAATAATAAAACAAACAATTCAGTTGGCTAAAAGTCTGCAAGTTAGCTCAACTAAAGTTGCTTGATAAGCCTAACTTCACATTTTAACAACAACAGTAACTAGTCTCTTCTCTCCTAACTTGTAGCTGAATGTTCTAACAACAACAGTACCTAATATTTTCACCTGTTGTTGAATGATCTAATAATAATAGTACCTAATCTTTTCACCTACTGTTGAATGTTCTAACAACAATAGTACCTAATCTTTTCTAATTTCACTTATAGTTGAATGTTCTAACAACAATAGTACCTAATATTTAATTATTTTGCCTGTAGTTGAATGTTCTAACAACAATAGTACTTAATCTTTTCTAATTTCACTTATAGCTGAATGTTCTAACAACAATAGTACCTAATATTTAATTATTTCACCTGTAGTTGAATGTTCTAACAACAATAGTACTTAATCTTTTCTAATTTCACTTATAGTTGAATGTTCTAACAACAATAGTACCTAATATTTAATTATTTTGCCTGTAGTTGAATGTTCTAACAACAATAGTACCTAATATTTTATCTTTTCACCTATAGCTGAAACCTTAGTGTTTGAACATCAATAGTATCTAAACTTTTAAGCTTATCAACACCTATTGTTTATTAACTAAAATAATAAAAACTGTATTTCCATACCCTTTTT